TTCTTTATCTTTTCTCATTGTAAATGTGTTTAGTTGAAGAAGAGCACCGGAGAGTTGCATGCTGGCTGCATTCCCTTCATGTTTACTCGTTGCACTTAACAATATGTTTCAACTTTTCAGGCAGCCACCATCAGCTCCTGTAAATGTTGCTCTTTGTGGCTGAGAGGAAAACAAAGAGAGCGGTGCACAAGTGCTCAGAAAATCCTTGAAGTCTTAAGCTTGCTGCATAGTGTCCAGTGGACACAATTTTAACAACTGTTTGTAGTTGCCTGGTATGAGTATTTACAGACTCTTCTACCAACATTAAAATCATTTTATGTCTAATGAATGGGAACTTATGTGTGTACCCCCCTTTAAGATTTCTCTTCCTGATTCTCTCCTGAGAAGAGATCCCTCAAAGCAAACTTTTTAAATAAAACTTCATAATGTTTTTATATTAAATAACTATAAGACATGACAACAGATTTGAAAAGAAATTGGGAGTGATTGCTTAGTGGTTAGAGCAGTGAGCTTGTGCTCTGAGAAGGATGCAAGTACCCAGTTCGATCCCTGGGAAGGCTTTGTGTTATGCAGAATGTCTCCAGTAAATCAAATCAACATATTTGTCTGGCCACATTCACTTTTATATGAGGAAAAGTGCATTTGGCACAATTTGGCCACTTTTGGCACAACAAAATCTACAAAGTCTGAGGGTTCATACAGATTTTCAAATAGGGTTTCATGGTGTTTTGCAGTATTTATTTTTGAAAAATTGTTGGCAAGGCTAAATTTTTTCACTTACTTTCTTTCACTTACTTACTACAGAAATGGCTCAGGTTACAGATGGCAGCGCTTACCACTGGGGTCGCTTCTTTAGAAAGTCGGCCCAGTTAAAGAATCATTTCTACACAGCCTGCCACATCATTACTGTACATCATTATATGTTTGTACAGGAAGAGACTTCACACTTAAAAAACAATCTGTAAATAAGTAAAAATGTCTTAAATTAAGCATGTTTACCCTTAATTTGAGCAGATAAATATGATTATCTGCCAATAGAATCAGTATTTTTATTCCTAGAATAAGATAATTAGATCATATTCACTTGAAATAAGACAACGCAATTGTTTTTTTTTCTTACTTTAAATGTAAATTGTCTTGTTCAATTGGCAAAACGTCTCACTTACCTCTTCAGATCAAGAAAAAAATGAACTTATTTTAAGAAAAAATAACTTATTTAGATTGAAATTTTTTGCAGTGCAGAGCTTCAGCTGTATCAAAATATTACAAAGCTCTTAGACCAAGGAAACTGCAAATGCACAATTAGAGAGTTAGCTTATAAGAATTAGTCACCCTGTCTTTGCTCCCATTTTATTTCCAAATCATCCCCTCATTAAATTAACTTCTTGGGAAAAGATTTGCTTTAACATGTAACAGGCTGGTATTATTAGGGTTTAACAGGCAAATACAAGAATCATACAAAATAATCCTAACTCCCTTAAGAATTAATTGTGTGCTAATTACAGCTCAAACAGCTAGCATTATAGCTACTAGGTAAACAGTTTAAATGGGTGAGATAAAAACAACTAACAAAATGTAACCTTTTTTTTTAAGATTTCTGCACAAATTGATATGCTTACAGCAGTTGTCCAATTTTTCAAAGGACCTAAAGCGTCCTGTAGCCTGCACACTTAAACTGGCCCCTGGATGGTGCTGACATTGAGACATATTGATCATGGTGACAAACTAGTCAGGGCCCCGGGCTGATTGGGGGGATTTAATGGCTCAGTGAATGAAAGAAATTGGGAGAAACAAACAGCTCTCTGAGAGCATCGCCTCAGGTGGGACGCTAAGCACTGGATCCTGACTGGTCCGTTTGGTTATGGATGCATTGGTTTCAGACCGGCCTGGATGCTGCAGTGCAAGGGCGTAGGAATATGTTTACAATTGGGGGGGACACATGTCGGAAAGCTGAGATTCGTAAATATTCAACAGAAACATATCTTAAGTACGCTACTTAAAAAAAAGGCTATTTAATCTTTTACTTTATTCCTTTATAAATGTGTTTGCAAAAATAATGCATTTAAAATGTACATAATGCATTTGTTCATAAGATGTGAGCATATCACCAAACAAAATGACTGGAGTCTTTTATTAAGCAAAGGGAGATGTCTTTCAAGGGCTTCAGCCCTTGGCATATTTAGTGTCCGCATACGCACTAGAAAATCAAAACAATTCAGTAGGCCACACAAGTGCAAAGTTTGATATGTTTTATTTTGTCAAACTTGCAATAATGGTCAAAAATGAATTTATATAGGTCGACTGACAGAGGGAGCTGACAGTGTGGTGAAGAATTATGGACAGGGCGCTTTGAAGCATCTGGTTCAAAAACGCATTCTAAATCTTTGGTAGAAATCCATCTATCCTTCCATTTTCTGTTCCTTAGTGGGGTCGGGAGGTGCTGGTGCGGGGTACACTCTAGACAGGTGGCCAGTCTGTCCAGACCTTTGGTAGAAATGGCGCCTTTAATTCCAATTTGCAGTACAGAACAGAGAAAACTACAGAGTTGTCAATGTTGTGTTAATCTGTTTATAGTCTAAAAAGAGGAGCCAGCAGTTTGAGGAAATAAAGGTGCAGAAGTTAATTAGTTGGTTAATTAGTGGTTGCACAACCAATGCGACCGCCGCTGCTAAGAATTAGAATTAATTCTCCCTGTGGTTAACTAACGATCAGGAGCGCGGCAGGTATAACATCTGTCCATTTCGGGGGAATCAAAACCATGCAAAAAATAAAAAATCCTCGTAAAACGCACACCCAGACCGGGCTAATTTCAACACAAGTTGTGTTAGGTGACTGTTACTCACACTGACGTTTCTCTTTTTTAAAAATCTGAGTAAGTCCTACTGCTGTTTCAGCCTTTTAGTTGGTGGTGGCATTGTACTGAAATGAGATATAAAAAAATATATATAAAAAAAACATTTTGGCTAGCGTGGCAAACGTCTAGAGAAAGTTAGCAGTTAAATATCGGATGAGTGATCAGACCAAGACTACGGAAGAGGATTAGGGCCACTGGAAAAAAAAAAAGTTAAGTGATTTTTACATTTTATTTCAGTTTAATACGGGAAAAAAGTCAGAATTCTGACTTTTATTTTCAGAATTAAGACTTTTTTCTCAGAATTCTGACTTTAATCTCAGAATTCTGACTTTTATTTTCAGAATTAAGACTTTTTTTCTCAGAATTTTGGATCTTAATGTAGATAGGCACCATGAAGGCAGAGATGTGGAGCACTCAGCTTCACTGACAAAGATGTGAGTTGTTTGAGATGGCCAGTGACACATTGGTGGAAAATGACAGAATTAGGCAACTTTTTACGTGCCCGAGGGGTCCCCTCATTAATGGAGGAGCAGAAGGTCATTAAAACAAGAGAGCTAGTCTCTAAAATAGACATGCCTATGGCTTGATGCTAACATGTTTGTTGTTAAACATACTTTTGTTATATTACATTTGTGTTGTGTTTTCCAAATAGTGTAGAAAATGAATGGTGGGTTTATAATGTTTACCTTTTATGAGCAGGACAGGAAGCAGAGAAGTGTAGCATTACCTCCAACTAGTTAAACTCATAATTATGAAGTTATTCAACAAATTCCTCAAGTAAAAAGGAAGTAAAAACTTTTTTATTTATTTATTTATTTTTTTTACCAGATTTGTGGATTAATTTCAAAATTATGTATTCCTTCCAAATTTCCAAATCTGAAGAATTTTTTAAACCAATATCTACATTATTTAACATTTAGTTTATGTTTTAGCAGTACTTCCTGTTATATTTCTTTATACGTATATTTACATTTTCTTGCACAGCAAGCTCAGCAGATTTGAAATTGTGTGCTTGTGTAAACACAAGTAGTCAATCTTTACTCTAAACATATATTCTGGTTATTTTTTAGGTAGACCTTCTTGTTTTTATATATCTGTATAGTCCCCCCTCCCCCCACCAAAAAAAAAACTGTAAACTGATTAGAAATATTAATCATCTGTCAGATTTCTGAGAAAAAAGTCAGAATTCTGAGATTAAAGTCAGAAATCTGGGAAAAAAAGTCAGAAAAAAAGTCAAACTAAACCAATGTTAAACTAAAAAAATATTTAAAAATCAGTTAACGTTTTTCAGTGGCTCTAATCCTCTTCCTACAAGACTAAGATGCCTAAACCAAAAAGATTCAGTTTCTATATATGAAAGTGAACTGACAACAAGACGTTATAAATAAGCAATATTCATAGCAGCATTCCCGACAGACCATTTTACCTCATTCACAAGTTTCTGACTTTCTGTATTGCTGTTTCCCTCTGAGTGCTCAAACACTCAACAGTTCACAGAGGGGAGGGGGAGTACAGTGACGTAACGCTATGCTGCGCCTTCAAAATAAAAGCACGATAGCTAAAAAATTGTCAAAATCTAATATTTTGCGGTACAATTTTTTGGGGGGGACATATCCACCTGGCTTTTATATTGGGGGGGACATGTCCCCCCCGTCCCCCCCGCTTCCTACGCCGCTGCTGCAGTGGGACAAACAAAAGTCTCTGGTAGCCGGCAGACTGTTTGACTAGTCATTGATTGTTTAAATAATGTTACTTCCCCCACAATTTTATCCACATTGCATCATATATGAGAGGATCACAACACAGTTCAATTTACCTTATTTTTCCATGTCTCTTTCACACATCTTATTAAATGTGCTTTTTCTACTGTTAGTTTTACTTTATATATTTTATAGAGCCTTAAAAAACAGGATATTTGTTTCTGAAAAATACCTATAAAAAACCACTAAGTTATATCAGCATAAACAGTCAGTAGTGAAGTCATCCTCTTATTTCAGTGACGTTAACCAACCTCTGGATGGAGCCAGAGCATCATCATACTAAGTTTGAGAGCAACAGGAAATGTAGGACTTTACACATTATTTCTTCAAGCTGAAATTTAAATATAAATTTAAATTTACAGAAATATCAAACCACTCAGAAAACATTTAATCAAAAGCTTTTTATTTATTTATTTGGCAAATTATCTTTGGATTTTAATTGACACAGTCAAAGTAACTGCCTATTACAGTACAATAAATGGTAAACCATACAAGACCTTCCTGTGTACTCTACTATTAACTGGTGCAGCATAACCAGTAATGCCCAACTTGATAAAGTACAATGATAGACACCAGTTTTACATCCCAACTTCTTGTCTCCTGATAACATTGCATATCAGTAGAAACGCTCCATTTTGTTTTTTTTTTTATTATTGAGCAGAACATCACAGTTTACATGTCTGCACAGCCGTGCAGTCCTCTGGCCACTGGTAGGAGTCAACAGTGAAGTCATCATATTCAGTGCTATAGGAGATAGAGCGGAGATGTGCTTCCTTGTCGGAAGGCTCTGGACGAAGCGTGGCCATTTTGTGGTTGTAGGCATAATCCATGATCTGTAAAGCAAGAATGTTTGGAAATTACAACACTCCCAATTTCCTGACCCAACGATTCCATTATTTTACATACTAAAGAATACACCACGATTCGATAATTTTTTTCTTACTTTACAGGCTGCACAATGTTTCAAATTCGCAATAAATCAATGAAAGCTGTAATATCGTTATGCATTTTATATGAAAAACAACAGCAGCAAATAAGAAGTACCACAGTTGTACTACACCTAATTCACTGAAAAATAATAATGCCTCTGTGTTTACGTGAGTGTGTGTGTGCAAGCGGAAAGAGGGTAGTGGAAAGGAAGCGAGGTAGGAGGGCAAAATAGGTTTAGCGCCACCGCAGCACGGGAGTCAGAATTACGTCCAGGAGGACGCGTAGATGCGTCGGATCTTCGGCTGTTGCATCGATGCAACGATACAAAACAGTTATTATTATTTACACCCCTAGTCAGCAGGGTGATTATTGGATCTTATTTTTGCGCTGAGGATCTCACCTTAGCTGCCAGGTTAAGAGAAACCTCCCTGATGGAGCTGAGAGGAGGATACAGTCTACCCTCGGCGAGGTCCTTCTCAGTCACCAGGTTGGCAAGAGCCTGTGAAAAAAAAAACACTTTTGTCAGTATAGAAGAGAAAATCAGAAAACTTTTGTCTATTATCATGTAATGAGGGATTTAGAGTAACAATTGTAAGTTACACCACCGGTCTAAGCAGGTTCAGTTGCTCACATAATATAAATAAGTAGTGATTTCAAACAGGAGATGAAAGATCAGACATTTATTGGAAAGAAAAAATCACCTCTGCAGCTGTTAAGAAGATATCCTCGGTAATATGTCGCAAGGCACAAGCGGTGACGCCAAGGCCCACACCGGGGAAGATGTAAGCGTTGTTACCCTGACCGGGATAGAAGGTCCTCCCATCGGGCAGGGTGACGGCGTCAAACGGGCTGCCGCTGGCAAAGATGCCTCTCCCCTGTAGAAGATAAATGGAAGAACACAAATGCATTCAGAAATCGGTTTTACCAGGTAAAACTAAAACTTTTCCTCTTGAGTTCTGAATACAGCATATTGACAGACGAAAACTTTTTAAAATCTTAAATGTTTTTTTTTTTTTTTTTTTTTACAATTTTGATACACTTGATCTAATCGGTTGTTCTGTCAGCTAATGGCATATTTTAAAGTCTCCAGTTAACGAGGAATCGATTACTAAATTAGTTGATGATTATTACATTATTCGATTAATCACGATTAATCCAATTAATTGTTTCAGCCCTAATTGGCACATTGTAATGCTAATATTAACAGTTTAAGTGTTTAATCCTTGACGATTTGCATTAAGATATGAAATGGTGGTATCTGAAATTCAGCCGTGCAGCACCGAGTACCTCTGTGAATGTGTAGCACTGCTCAGCAGTACATTCAGCCTTGCTGGTTGGGTTGCTGAGGGCGAAGATAATTGGTCGTTGATTGAAGGAAGCCATGTCCCTGATGATCTGCTCAGAGAAAGCTCCCGCTACAGCTGCAACACCTGAGATCCAACAATATTTCAGTTAATTCTGATCAATATGTTTTATAGAAAATTTGGGAATTGATCTCTGTTGTCACCATTTACTAAAAGTGCTGTTTACCAATGATTGCTGTGGGTTTCAGATCCCGGACTACATCCCCCAGGTTTCTCATCGGAGGATGCTCATGGGCGAATCTCTCCTTCTCGTGGGTCAGGTGGTCTCGACCCTATGGATGCAGAATGAGGGGAGCAAGATTGAAAATATCCCAAAATCTGATTAAACAGTTATAATGGGAGAAATATAGGGGCATAGTTTATCTACACAAACTGTTCTCTTTGTCATCCTGTAAAACGAGTGGTCATAAGGAGACCCATTGATTTAAAACGTACAAGGTAGTCCGAACAATCCTTAAAATCCTTTGAGCATAAACTCCCAGGTTGCCAAATACATCTTTATACTTATATCAACCATAAAGCCACCGTGGTTTTTTATTATGTCTACAAATGACTTAATTATTGAACTTAGTTACTAAGGAAAGTGGTACAGAAGAGGATTAAGGCTTTCGAAAAAAAAAAAGTCCTTGTTAACGATTCATGGCCATCGTCAATGAACCCGGAGCCAAGTTCAAAGTCACTTAAATCCAACATGTTCCTCCAGACAGCTAATTCTCCTCCTGCATTTCATTTTCCCATCTGCATCGAGTTAAACTCAAGTCGTAATTCTGAGATCAAAGTCCAATTTTAAGATTACATTTAACAGCTGGAATTCTCAGACAAATTCTAAGATTTCAGAATTGTGAGAAAAAAAATGGCAGAATTCTCAGGATTAATTCTAGTATTAAATTTTTAGATTTAATTTAAGAATCTTGCCACAATTCTGAGATCAAAGTCATTACTCCAAGACTAAATTTAGAATGCTGAGAATTTAGCAATAATTTTAAAAGTCTGCATGGTAAATGGTATGAATAAAAAATTCTGAGAACATTTTAGAATTATAAAATAAAGCCAGAAATCTAACATTAAAGTTAGAATTCTGAGATTATAGTCAGAAAATTCAGAGATTAAATTCAGAATTCTGAGCTTAAAGACGTTTAGTTGCAATATAGACAGTACCTCAGTTAATGTTGTAAGAGATAGCACTGCACTTTACAATATTTCCCTTTATGTTAAAAATCTGAGCTGGAACAGATCCTTATATCATTAACATCAATATGTGAAGAACGTCGATCATTAATATGTTGGTTTAAACCAATCTGGCTCTTGCTACAAAAAAGGAACTTAAGGCAAATCCTAAAAAATATGATATTGTCTGCTTGATTTGTTTTATTCATGACTGTCTGTGAAAGTGTGTGTTTGCAGGCCAAGAAAGACACCTTGACGATGAGTCCCTTTGAATCAACCATCCAGATTTTTTTCAAGCTTTCCTCCTTATAGAGTCCCTCCTTCTCCATTGCCATGGTGATGAGATCAGCAATCCCCATCGCTGCCTGGGAGCAACAGTGAGGGGAGGGAGAGAAAAGCAGAAGAGAAAAAGGTTTATGTAAACGGAACGCTCTGGGTGAACTGTAAATGTGTTACAGGTGTTAAAAAAGCTCATATTTCTGCTCAAATTCTTGGACAAATAACTTTTTAAAAAAATATAATCTTAACCAAGATTCTTTTTTAAGTAGAAAAAGTGATGCCCTTACCTCTCCCGCTCCTTGGAAGACGACGGTGTGGTCGCTCATTTTGCTTTTGGTGATACGGAGGGCGGCGATCAGTCCTGCTACGGCTACTGCTGCTGTGCCTGAATACATAGAGCTGCATCAATCAGATGTTCCTAGAAATCTAAACATAGTTTATAAAACTAATCTTTTCTTGGCTTTCAATACAAAAGAAGGAATCCAGTCAGAAATAAAAACAACTGCAGTGTTAATACCGTACCTAAAAAGGCAAGGAATGTTATCTGCTGAGGGAAAATCCTTGGAAGAAATTGCTGTAATTTAGCAGTGCCGATATCATTTTAAAGATATAAAGAAATGTTTCTAGAGGTCATCAAAGGTCAACCAGCCCCCCCCAGGTACTGCTCAGGCCACTATTACAGCAAGCTGGGCTCCGATAGTGGCCTTCATGTCTTGTGCATTGTCAGGTCACATCTTTCTCTTTCCAATACCTCAGGTTTACCTGTAGATTCAGCTCAGGTTAGTGTGCCGAGCCGGTTAAGAACCGTGATTCCATGGTTCTTAAACCAGGTACTGGTAGGTTTGGCGCTGTGGGCCAAGTCCTGTTGGAAAATAAAATCTGCATCTCTATAAAGCTGGTCAGCAGGAAGCATGAAGTGGTCCATTTTTTATTTTTTATTTAACCTTTATTTAACCAGGAAGTCCATTGAGATTGAAATCTCTTTTTCGAGGGAGACCTGGCCAAGACGGCACACCAGTTAAAATACAAACAGAAATACAACATAGACAAAATCTCACATAGAGGAAAAGACAGGTCACATAGGGCAGTTACATTTTTGAATGACATGACATTTTAACATGGCCTTAAATTTATTCAATGGGACTAGATCATTTAAATGGAGCAAGTTTTGCAAATTATTCCAGGACCATGGAGCAAAGTAAGAGAAGGATTTCTTCCCCAGCTCAGTAAAAACCATTGGAATCTGGTAAGAGCGCCACCTGGTGGAACGGAGAACGGAGTCCATAACCTCCTGGTAGCAACTGTGTTGACCTTGGACCTCAGAAAGCACAGTGGACCAACATCAGCAGATGAGATGGTGCCTCAAACCATCACTGACTGTGGAAAGGTTACAGTGGACCTCAAGCATTGATGATTCTGTACGCCTCCTCTCTTCCTCCAGACTCTGGAACCTTAGAGTAATGTAACTTTGATCTTTGATCAGAGAACATAACTATGGACCACCCAGCTGCAGTCCATGTCTTCCATTCATCAGTGCCTGGTTGACCTTGAAGCACTGACTTCAGCTGCAGTCCACTCTCTCTGAACTTCCCCACATTTTGAATGGGTTAGCTTCCCAATCCTCTCCCTGTTGTGTTATCTCCATTAATTTTATCCTTTTTTTTTCCTATCACATCTTTTCCTTCCCTCTCTCTTACTGTGATTTGACACAGAGCTCTGAACAGCCATCCTCTTTATTGATGATCGTTTGTGTCCTGACCTCCTTTGCTTGCTGTCAGTGGCCGTCTTTAGGACAACTGTCAGCTCAGCAGTCAGGCCCCTTCATGGAAAATGGAAACCATTTAAAGGCCTTTCATGGTGTTTGGAGTTAATCAGCTCAGAGTGAGACATCAGGCATCTTTAATATTGAACTTTTTCACAGCATTTCAGTTTTCTGAGATGCTGAAATTTGGGGTTTTCATTGGTTGGCAGTTATAATCATCTAAATTAAAAGACATGAAATATATATCAGTCCGTGTGTAACAAATAAATATAATATACCACATTCATTTTTGGAATGGGATTACTGAACTTGATCAAGTTTTTCATGATATTCTAATTTTATGAGCAGCGCCTGCATTTTGTGAAATGTTCCACCAACAACAAAACACTACATGAAGTTGAACCTGTAGTTAATCCAAATCTAATAATGCTATGATTGAGCATTTATTGCCTTACTTTAATCAAACATGTCGCGTCAATGCAGGATTGAACTTCTTCCTCTCAGCTCAAGTTGGCTTATAAATGGTTTTACTGCAGAAAATCAGACTTTCTGATAGCTGTTTCTAAAGTGTAACCCCCGATTGTGGTGATAAAACAAAACTGTTAGCATCGGGGCTCGGGATTTAATTTTCAGTTACCTTGGATGTCATCGTTGAACGTGCAGTATTTGTTGCGGTACTTGCTCAGCAGGCGGAAAGCATTAATGTTTGCAAAGTCCTCAAACTGAATCAGGCAGTCCATTCCATACCTGCAAGGAGAGGATATGAGTTAACTTTAATCCACGCTCCTGTCAGCACACAGGGAGAGAAAAACAGATGCTTTTACAAATCACCGAGTCCACAGGATGGTGCTCTCACTCAACACCGGACAGCAACTTGGGTGAAGGGAGCAGATGTTGAACTTTACCTTTTCATTGAACATAGATTTATGGAAATGCGACATTGATAAATGCAACACAGACTTGTCATTTGAAAAATCGGCGCCTAGTCCCTCTTTTATGACAACAACCAGCAGGAGTTTCAACAGAGGAGGTCAAACACCCAATAAAAACCCAGAAAACAAACATCTAATTTAAAGGAAAAGAGCCAAAGCAGTAAACCAGCAGCCTTCTTTTTTGTTTACAACTTTGCTGTTAGACCACCATCCACACCTAACCGAGTCAAGCAGAGAAGTAAATACCTGTAAGCTTTTCGTAAAAAACAGAAAATCAAGCCTAACGTTATGAGTCTGTAACTTCGATTTATTGACAACGTGAAGGGGTCCCAGGTTTTCAAGCCTTTCAACAGATGTAGCGTTAGCTGAGGAATTTGCTGGATGTTTGTGATGCAGAAGCAGCTCCTTGATCTGTAAAGATTTTCAAATTAAATAGAGAAAAACAAAAGGATTCTCTTCTGTCCTTTCGTTTTATTTTTTTATTTTTGTTATTGTCATTACACTGTCCCAAGTAAAGAGTAATGAAATGAACTCTCTGCTTTTAACCCATTCCCTTGGGGAGCAGTGGGCTGCCACTGTGCGGCGCCCGGGGAGCAGTGTGGGTTTGACGGTCTTGCTCAGGGACCCAGAGTGTTAGTCCATGGGAGTGGGGCTTCAACTCAGAACTGCAATGCGCAATGCCCTAACCACCATCACTCCCCTACAATTTTATCATACAAGCTTCTGTCTTTTCTGTGATATGAAATATGCAAAATCACCTTTCAAGTCGCAGGGAAGCGGCTGTTCCAACTGTTGCATTTTCAACTTGGTGGTGCCCGACTTTACACGAGTGAATAAAGTGAATGTGATTGGTCGATTATCAAGGGGGCTGGGATTGTTGTGGAAGCACCTTGCTAACCAGTTAGCAACGTAGGGGTAGTAGGTTCCCAATGGGAAATTCCATTGGGACCAAGCAGCACTAAAATTGGTGACTTAGAAACGACACTGTCAAGGAACGCTATGAAGAAACATGCAAGAGGAGGAGAGTTTTGTATCAGAGGTCGTGGATGAGTCTCCTCCGTCATCCATTTTTATTTAGAGGAGGAAAGCGGGGACGAACATGTTGTGGAAGAGGACGCCAGGGCGGCAGAAGCTTGGTTTGGTGTAGAACATGGGTCTTCAACGTTTTCCAGGACAAGGACCCCCAAACTGATGGCGAGATGGAGCGGGGACCCCCTAATTATATATATTGAATGAAATTGTGTTCTATCAAACTGATCCTATAGTCACTCAATTACAGATGGAGTAATGTAAGGAAAGTAATTTCTCCCTGGGATTATTAAAGTATTTCTGATTCTGATTCCTGGTTGATGGGACAGGTGTTGTGAATGAAACGGTGCCCAGCTTGAAAGAGCTCCTGTGTGTCGCTGAATGTGTGCATTGATGACTGAAAGACATCTTCTGCCTCCATTTATCTGTTTAATACAGTGTGTTTAATTCATGTTTATGTGTATTTAAAGACATTTCAATTAGTGGAAAAATTGCAGGGGGGAATATTAAATAAAGAGTGTTATCAACCAAAACTTTCGTGACCCCCATGCAGTACCTGGAAACAATTTATACATCTTAACAGACAACTGTTGAAGTAATAATCTAGAAATGATTTCTTGGACTGACCAATATCTCAGCTGGAAGAGATTAGGTAGGATGTAAACTATAAACACATGCATTTTAAGGACAAAGAAAGACATAAATCTGATTTAAAGTAAGCCACAAGCTGTGTAGGGGAAACAGCAAGCTACAGGAAGATGCTGCTCTGCTCAGATGCGACAAAAATAAAAAATAAAGTAGCTTTTTTGGCTGTATGCAAACGTTACACAGTCATATATTTAATAAATCATAACATTACTAGGAAGTTATTTATTTCAGTAAGTGAAACACAGATATGTTTAATTACACAGAGTCTGATGTTTTCAGGCCCTTATATGTCCGCTTACAGCTAACCCACACCCCATTTTACGATCACTTAAGGCATTTCTAATGCACAGAATGTGTTATATGTCTGCTTAAAGGTTGTTTATAATGTATGTTTAATCTACCAAATGCGCCTAATCACAATAAATATTCTGATTTAATCAAAAGTAAATATTATAAGAGTCAAATTTGAAACCCCACAGCCATTGCTTCGGTGACAGACTGATGGAGGAAATTGTGGAAAGGCTGAACAAACAGTAGCTGAAGCCTCTCGAGCCTCCCAGCTCTCAGAATCACAGTCAGGACCCTGGTTATCACATCCCTCCTCTTTCCATATATTCTGTTCTCCCAGCTTTACTGGATATAACCTCTGAAATTTTCTTCCTCTTTCGTTTTATAGAAACAAACTTCTTCCCCCTTTTGTCATAATGACAGGAGGAGGATGGAACAGGATGGAAATCTGCAAAAATAAAAGACCACTTCAGATGCAATAAAAACTTTACGCCCTGATGAGAGATGCCGTCTCTGGGTCATGTCAGCGTTTATTCTGTGACCTGCAGTGTGACACGATTGGACCAATAAAGATGTCGACAGCAGAGCGAACTTTCTGCCAACAACGAAGCCGTGCCGAGCAGAGAAATGTGTTTTCTATCAGAGAGAGGGCAGACGAGGGAGACAGCAACAAAGACACGGATTTATTAGGCTAAATACTGGAGCCGTAAATATTTTATTGTGTTTTGGGAGGAAAGATGCTCTATGCAGTCTGTGACACAAGAGGTCAAACAAGGTCACACATTGGCTCAAGATTAAAATACAGTCTCGAAACGTGGACTTTGGAGGGCGGCAGCCTGCAGGAGGAACAGTATTTGTTTCTGTTGCTGCGCTCATGTGGCGAATCTCTGTTCACTGGAAAAGGCTGAACTTTTTTTCTTTTAACTTAATAAGCTCAAAATAGACAGTTTGGCAGAAAACTTTACTTGCAACTGGAAATAAAGGCAAAATGAACTCATGCATACTTTTAGAGCTTTGGGTGACCACAAACAGAACGAGCGTCTGTGATGGCGCTGCTAAAACAAAGGAGCATCCTCCTGTCTCCTCTGCGCTGAAGCTCTTGGCTCTGACGCACGCATCAGTAAAGATAGGGTTCAGCTTTTTAACAAGGTGTGTGGCTTTACCAAGAACCACGCATTCTGCTTTGCATTTGCAGTCTTTATTTTGTGTCAGTGACGTTTCACTGAAGACCCTGGAACATCACAAAACGTCACTTTATATTCCTGTGACAACTAATTTAGGAAAATGGCAAAGAGCAAAGGCAGGATTTGCTTTTGTGTCTTCACTGAAGCATTAAGGGCAGGAACCTAAGCAGGCCAGGGCACACCCTGAAGGTTTTAAACACTTAGCATTACCCCTGACCACGCTCCAACAAAACAAACCAATCGCTGAGCAGCAGTGGAGGAGGGAGCAGAGACTGCAGCAACTAAAAAAGGTAGTTTTGAGTGAAGGAAACCTCTAAAAAATACAACAAAACACGTATTATGGGATCAAAGCCCCCGTGTTCAAAGGAAAGCTGTTGTTTCAGGGAGACGTAGATTTTTTTTCTGGATTACCATGAGTGTTTTCACATTTTTAGCTCATAACAAAGTCGCAGTTATCCTTTTAGAAAATGTTTCAGGAAGTCAGAAAACCCTGCAAAACAAGTGCTTTCTTCTTTTTAAGGTAACATCATTATGTTAGTGATGGTCCTAAAAGGAGGCACCCAGAACCTACCCCAGATACATAGACAGATGTTAATGTGCAGAAGCTGTTCTGAGCTTGACCAGAAGAAGAAACAAGTCAGCCCATCTCTAAAGCCAAGACTCATCTGCTTTTATCCAAAGTCTTACTCTTCCTGCCATCATCTTTATGTCATGGCTGTAGTTTATGGCTGGAAACAAAGGAGGAGCTTTGATTCTGTGCTCCATAAACAGGTCGAAGCGGACTCTAGATTACAGCAGGCATGGCCCCCAATCTGTCCATTTCTTAGGCTATCATCTAATAATTCATGAACAAAACAGCAAAGTAACGGGATTCCTTCACTAGAAGGAAAAGACTGAACCAACTCCTGATGAACTCTTTTCTAGGTGAGAACCATTGAAGTTGATCCAGATTCGACTTCTGCTACCGAGTATCTGAGTCTCCTCCTCACCTCCTATTTTTAAATTAATTACTTATCTAATATTGGAGAAAAAAATATAGACACACTGCCTCTTTCCTTCCAGGGTTGACGGGTCTCTATCACTTTAACAGTCCATCAGGGTCCACACAGGAAAGAACTAAATCCTCCAATGCTACAGTGCACTGCAAAAATGATTTAGAAATAAGTAAAAATGTCTGAATAAAGCGTATTTAGCCTTAATTTGAGTAGGTAAATAAGATGATTTGCCAATGGAATGAATATTTTTACACATAAAATTAGATATTTAGATTATATGCACTTGAAATAAGACAATGCAATTGTTATTTTCTTATTTTAAATGTAATCTGTCCTGTTCCATTGATAAAGCATCTAACTTTTCTCCTTAATTTAAGAAAAAATGCACTTATTTTAAGTGAAAATGACTTATTTATATTTCTAATTTTGTTATAATTAAACACAGGAAGGTTTTATTAATCAAAGTCTTCATATTAATCTATAATGAAGAACTATAGAACAAACATTCCAACACTTTACAATCATTACTTTCCCTTAATATTCAAATCCTCATAAAACACTAAATGCTCCAAAACAATTTCATTTCACAAATATTTAAACCATCAGGATAGTTTAAAAAAAAAATGACTTCAGTCTGTCAAAGCAATCCGAGTCCTTTCACCAAATCGAGT